TGTGTTTTTTAGTGGTAAGAACAATATTAAGATTTCTTTTCCAGTCAACGTAGTTTTCTTCCACAAGTTGATTTTTGTTAAGTATTACTGATAATGGATTAAGCGACATTTTCTATAAAATTAAAGATTCACGTATTAATAAAATGAGCAATACTCTTTGTATGATGCATGTATATGTATATGCAAATATAGACCCAAAACTATATTTGTAATAAAAAAACCTTAAACCCCTACAACTTTTAACATGCCCTCTATAGGAGGTCAATGTAGTTGTTGGCAAGGTTGGGACCCTCCCATTCATTTTATTGAGCTAGGCATCTCATGCCACAAGAAAACGAGGATTGATTATTATTTGGCTTATGAATAATTTTGTTGAAATCTTCTATAGGAAGTCCCCCAAAATATTCATATATAAGTGTAATAACCTCCGTCAACAATTTTAAAATATCCGAAATACATAAGTTGTCGTCTATAGGATGATCATCCCATTATTTCATTTTTAAACAAATTCTATTACTAGATCCAATTTCAGTTAACCTAAAATAACGTAGTTTTCCTATAGGGAGACCGATATAATTCGATACTAAACATACGTATTTTAATAACAAATTGGATGACGGAGGAGGTCGTAGGTTTATACATGCCTATAAACCCTCTCACACTTATTATTTTGTACCGTTGAATTTTCAGTTAATTAGCTAGCCAAATATAAGCAATTATAATGGCACTAATTATAAAATATTTTTCAACCACCTCTAATTAATTTAGAGTAATAAAAAAATATTTAAATGTAAATGCATATGATTTTAGTGCACCGGGTGGTGTTTCATTTAATCTACATGACATGCGATAATAATTAAACATTCATCTATCCATAAAGAGGTAAAAGCGATAATTAAATTAATAATAATCACTAATGGCCCATCCTAAGAATTTAAATTACAACATGGATAAAAAGAATTACATTGGGCCACATCCCTGCCCAATTCTTCAATTTTCTTTGTAGTCCACCTTATGTAACAAGAAAATAGGGTTAATTTAATTTTTAGGCCCAAAACTTAAAACCAACAAGGTCATTATCCAATAATATTAGCCCAAGTTTTAAAGAAAAGCCCAAAAATTCAAATTACCCTAATTTTGAAAACCTAGCAAGAAATCACACACAACACCAAAACACACACAACTCTGGCGACGACGCAATCTCCGACGACCCAAAAAAAAAGGAGGGCCACCGGCAAGCGACCCAACAGCTGTTGCTGCATTACGCAGATGCTGAGCTGCTGCACAAAATACAGCATCAGCCATGGCTGCCGTGACCAGTGTATGTTCGCGGTGGCTGCCATAGCTTCGGTCACGGCAGCCACCATCGCTGTCGCCGCCGCCTCTTGGTGTTTCTTGAGATTCTTGCATTTTTTTTTGTCCTTGTTCTTCATTAAAATTACAGCAACAAATATTACATTTCTTCCTAAAATACAAAAATAAAAATGAAGAAAAAATACAAAAAACTTAGTGCCTTATGGCTTACAACATTTCTAAAGAATAACCATAATAAATGAATTACAAAAAAAAGAAAAAAGAAATCTAGGGCCAAAAGTGATTATGAGTATATCAATCAATAATTTTAAACATATTTAAAGCATAAACATGTCAAAATCAAATAACCTAACATCACCCAACTAAAATGCATATTACACTAGGATTTAAAAAAAAAATCCTACCCAAGGCATACAATAACCTTGGCTCTGATATCATTTGTTGATTAATGAATTTTAATCATCACAATAGGAAATTAATTGTCCTTTGAAGATTAAAATCATGTAAATAAGGATTTCATTGACCTTGAGATCATTGTATTATAAAATTCTCATATATATAGAAAGGGGAGATGATAACCTTTTGTGAAGGAGCTATTAATGGCCTAGCCAATTGCTTCCTCCCTTAGATCTTTTCCCTTATTCTCCACTAGGTGTTATTCCTTTTTGAGGAATGTGAAAAGTGGCTAACCCTAAAATCACACCAAAATATGCCAATAATGTGCATATTTATAATGACTTATTAGGGTTTGAAAATTGCACAAATTTCCTTAAACTTTATTGTAGTAGGCCAATTAAGCCACACACATTTTATTGGAGTCAGGAGAGGGACCTAATTGGACTCACATAACCCAAGCTCCAATATATATTTTCAATTAGGTCAACTCTTGACCAATTGAGATAATCTATTAATCCCGACTTATTCTACCAAAAAATCGATATTGCACTCTCGAGTTGAGTGATAGTTATAAAAGCAAATTATGATCCAATAATAATATCCTCTGATTATCGTTCCACAAGTCAACCCCCATTTGACCGTCAATATGTTGAAATTGGAAAAATGACCGTCTTCAACATGCATTACCCTCTAAGTCCCATTTTCATACGGCAAATTCGTTGTGATCAAAACACAATGTAAAGTCCAACGATCTCTCGTTGACCTACTAAGCTCAGATTCAATTTGCCTAGGAAAATACCTTAGAGTGACGATCGTCTCATCTCAATGATTAATGGATTCCAATATTGTAAGTATATGATCTCTAATTGTTTCGGCCCGATTCCCAGAGCACCGATATCAATCTTCTATTTAAGATTTCACTCATTGGTACCTCAAAGAACTTGAACTAGCAATCAAAGGTACATTACTCACGAAGGATTTAGATGACCTGTTTGATAATCAAGTAGAGTCTCATTTCAAACGGTCACAAATGAGTAATCTACGCGATCCCGTTCAATGTGCATCGAAACACATTATTGTTCCTATTTCAAGATCTAGACAAATCTTAATAAGAACAATACAATCTTCTCAACATAAAGCATCCAATTTTATGAACCGATTGTGAACGACATAATTTTGATCACATCACAACTTGTGTCTTACTATACCCAATCCATCGAGTATACAATTTGTGACGTCCTTTATAATCATGGAACCTTAGACAATCACTTCAAATTATAACACACAAAAAAACGAACGTAAATTCATAATGTGATTTTACAGAATATTACTCGAAGAATGAGCATCAAACTAACAAAATGCCCTTCTATTGTATCCTCTACGCATTTTAGACCATATACTGCTGTAGACCAAGGTTTCATTCTTCATAAACCGTGTATCTTTCAATCAGTAATCCTATTTAAAATCTGTTGTGTAGACCCCAAGTTAAAGTTTCAATAGTTCAAGTGAGATTCTCATATTTTGAGATGTTGTATATTGCAAGATTTTTGTTAAAAGTGATATAGCTTGATGTCTCATAACTATGACAATTGGGAAAGACTTGGAAGAGATTGCTTCTATCTGATTATGAGGACATCATCTCCAGATCTTTGGGTGACTCTTCAATTTTACTTGATGGAGGCAAATTGGTAACATCACAATATTCTATAAATTTCTATATTCTGCTGTTATTTGTCGACTTTACCAAAACAAAAGCATTAATTGTTTGAACATTGAAAATGCAGAGTTTTCATATTGATAAAACAACTGGGAAGAGGTGCTATGATTGGAGCAAGAAAACTCAAAATTTTATGGGGTGAAATTCCAGAATTTTGGAAGTTGACATCGCACGAAGACTCCAGGTCCTTTACTATTTATCTTTTTTTCTTTTGAATTCATTAGAAATTGCATATTAATAATATTATCTGCAGATTATGATGCAATGAGAAAAAGGAATTCAAGCTAAATCCTCACAAATATGAAATTTGGAATCCACCAAATTAAGAAGAAAATAAACCTCACGAATTTTATTGAAGAATGACGATAAAAATCAAACTAATCCCTTATTCATAAGGATTTACATGGAAACATAGTTTAAAACAATTAAAATTAATGAAAACAAAGTTTAAACAAACTAGAATTTCAAAAAATCCAAAATAAACAAATTGACAAAATTAGCGCCAAAACTTTAAAAATCAGTTTTCGAGAAGGATGTGGCATTGGATATAAAGAGAATTAAGTTTTGAAGTTTGCGTGTGGTTTCTACAAACCTTATTCCAATTAGGATTAGTATTACCCTTAACCTGATAAGACCAAGAAATAATTAATCTTGTTAATTAGCTTCGATCACTAAATAAGTCCAACACTAATATTTAAGTCCACCCTGCAATTGGGATATAGCATAAAAATTACTCTCTTGGAAGCCTTCTTGTGATACATATCTAGTGGAGCTTGTTTCTTCTCAAAGTTAATGCCAACTTCGATATCTTCTCTAACGCTTAATGTATGAAAAACATTTGACACGACAGACTCCATAGGAGAACTTATTAGCAAAATATTTTGCAAAAATAAAAAATTTCCTCATAAAATTAATAATTTATTCATTAATCAATTAATTAATATAATTTTCTTGGCTCTTAAGGCATTAAATTATTGAGATTCTACGAGTGTTCTTAATATTAGAGTGGGACATCTACAAGTTATACCTCTTTAGCTTAGACAATTACTACTACTTAAGAGACATATTCTTGTGTTTGGCCAATGGTATTTTGACACATCGACTCGAACAGTGACAAGGGACATCTACAAGTTATACCTCTTTAGCTTAGACAATTACTACTACTTAGGTTCTTTTCACAAAACAGATATCTTGACACGGCAGTTATATCCATGAAATTTCCTAAGAAAAGGTTCCCAGAAATTTTTCTGTTTGATTTCTTGGAATAAGTAGTTTCTTGACACGTAAATTTTGACTGACTTGTTGGACGAATTAAACCTGTTTGGACCATGTTTCTCGATTATGGATCACAATACCAAGACATCTGAATACAAACTCAAATGCACTTCTACTGTATCCTCTATGCATTCCAGACCATATACTGCGGTAGACAGAGAATATATTCTTTATAAACTGTGTATCTTTCAATCAGTAATCCCATTTTAAATCTGTTGGGTAGATCCCATTTTAAAGTTTCAATAGTTCAAGTGGGATTCTCATATTTCGAGATTTTGTATCTTGCAAGATTTTTGTTAGAAGAGATATAGTTCGATGTCTCGTAACTATGACAATTGGGAAAGACTTCTGGAAGCCGTGCTGCGGAGAGAACATGACCGGGAACTTGTTTTAGCTCATTCCCCAGATCCAAGTTTCAGCTCTAGTATCATATCCCATCCCTGTACTTCAATTCATGACAATCAGAATATTCAACTTGGAACTTCCTCCAATACAGTAAATGAAAAAGATTGGGAGAGATTGCTGCTACCAGATTACGAGGACATCATCTCCAGGTCTGCGGACCCAGTGGTCTATGCAACCAAGAAAGACCTTTACTTGAGTCTTCGTGACTCTCCAATTTTACATGATGGAGGCAAAATGGTAACATCACAAATTTTTATAAATTTCTATATTCTGGTGTTATTTGTAAACTTAACCAAAATAAAATTTGTACATTGACGAATGGAGAGCTTTCATATTGATAAAACAACTGGGAACAAATGTGTTATGATTGGAGCAAGAAAGCTCAAAATTTTATGGGGTGAAATCCCAGAATTCTGGAAGTTGATATCTCATCAAGATTCCAGGTCCTTTACCATGTATAAGATATATCTTTTTTCTTTTGAATTGCCTTTGAAATTGCATATTAATAATATTATGTGCAGATTCTTAACTGTGGCAGAGCTTAAACAAATTTTGAGGTTTGATAGTCGAGGACAAATAGATACAAATATGCTGTCCCCGAAGACTCGTTATGCAGCATATCTTGTATATGGATTCGCAAAATCTTACAATTGTAATCCCTTGTCAGCAAATGCTATTATCAGTTTTAATAATAATGAAGATTGTAATGCTCCCAAGCAAGCTAGAACACTTCACCTTAAACCATGGACATAGAATATGGAATATTGCAGTGAGACCCAATAAGTGGATGGAAGTAAAAATTGGAAACTTTTATACTGATCAATAAGATAACAGAGTTGTGGAGGTTCAAGTATGGGAGAATAAACAATATTTGAAGTCCGGTCTCATTGTAGAAGGCATTGAATTTTGGCCTCCCAATGCTAACATTGTGATTTTTCCAAAGAAAAATGTGAGAGAGAAAACAACAGGGAGTCGAAGAATCTTTTCAAACCTTAGGATTTCTGGATGAATTGGGTAAAAAAAAATTGTGTCTTGGCATGATTTGTCTTTTTTTTTTTTTTTTTTTTTTTTTTTTCCCCCTTTTTTGGGGG